GATCCTCTCTAACACCCTCCTCCAGGAGAAGCTAAGGCAAGTTTGCCATCAACCCTCCAGCCCTGGTCTTCCAATTGGTCTTCACTCTTCCCCCTCCAGATCCAATTTTATTGTAAGAATAGCAAGGGATCCTTTTGAACTCACAGTTTACTGTAAACAAGTCACCAACCCCAACCCCACCCTTCTTTTTTTTTTTTTTTTTTTTTTTTGACAGGCAGAGTGGACAGTGAGAGAGAGAGACAGAGAGAAAGGTCTTCCTTTTGCCGTTGGTTCACCCTCCAATGGCCGCCGAGGCCGGCGCACCGTGCTGATCCGATGGCAGGAGCCAGGTACTTACCCTGGTCTCCCATGGGGTGCAGGGCCCAAGCACTTGGGCCATCCTCCACTGCACTCCCTGGCCACAGCAGAGAGCTGGCCTGGAAGAGGGGCAACCGGGACAGAATCCAGCGCCCCGACCGGGACTAGAACCCGGTGTGCCGGCGCCGCTAGGCGGAGGATTAGCCTAGTGAGCCGCGGTGCCAGCCAACCCCACCCTTCTGATGGCTCTTTTTTCTATCTAGAGCAAGCCAAACAGGACAAAGGATTGCAAATCAAGTCTTTTGATGGGTTTTGTCCCGCCTTGTAACTGAATGTCAAGCTGATTTTGGCAGGTCTCCTCAGTTCCTACAAACTCAATTTCCTGGTCCCATTAGCAAGCATTTCCTAGGGATTTTATTTAGCTCCGGGTTAACAGCAAAAACTGCCTCTCTCTCTTCCTAAACCTTCCTCCTCTGTTCTGCCCCTCCCTTTTAACCTGGCCACTTTGGCATCTATTCTGCCCTGTACCAAAGGGCCATAAAGCCCTGAGAGAAATTTCAGAAATTCTACACCCAAGTATCTCTCAACCTACGTGAAATAATGATCAAGGCTACGGGCCCTTCAAACCAGCAGGCTCACCGGGTTAATTACTATTTCCAGACATATCTCCTTTTGCATAACAGCCCCTTATTCTATCACCTATCAGATTCCCCTTAGGAATCTCAGGAGGGGTGCCCATCTGCTCTGATGGATGCCCTCTCCCATTAAACCTAGCATAATGGTAAACAATAACTTGCCAAACTTATTTTGCAATTTGTTTTAACAGGTTTCTGATGATATAGCAATGGGAAATCAGTACTCCATGAAACAGCAGTGGGTAATCAGTAACTCGTTATAGTCCCTAAGGTGGATTTTGCAGTCTCTGGTTTAATGTTACCAATTTATAGTTAGTTTTATAAAAAGAGTAGAATCCCATATGAATGCAATTAATTGAGATAGAGGTATGGTCTAATACCAACATCTTTACTCATCCAGGTGTTACTGCTAAATGTAAATTGGGTAAAGGCAGATGAGATAAATGTGTCTAAATGTAAACATTGGTACTCTTAACACCTTATATTCTACAGAAAAACTATTTGGGTTTGCTAACATGTTTTCATAAATTTTCCATATGGGTCAAAGTGATATATGCTACTTCTAGGCCTTCCCACATAAATCCACATGATCTCCCATGCTCTCTTTTCCCATCCACCAGCTAAATGGAGAGGATGCCAAAAACCTAGAGGAGGGCAGAGCCACATGATGGAGGGGGCCTGCATTCCTGAGTTGGCATTTGGAAGAAAGTTGACTTCAAGGGACATGCATGTTGGGCTGTTCCATGAGCAGAAGACATGATTTTTATTTTTCAAGCCAATGACAGTTTAGAGGTGCCTGTTAGAGCACTTGGCATGTCCTGATATGTCAACTCTAGGAACCCAAAAGGACCTTCCCAAAATGACACGAGACTACACCAGACACAAATTGCTTTTGATGACTTGGTTATTGAGGGGTAACACCACACAAGAGATACTCCATTTTGTCTTGATTTTCAACTCAAGTTATATATGTGCATGATATCTGCAGGTAATTGTTCTAATTTCTTCCCTCGGTGTTCGCTATGTTTACATTTGTCTACACTTTCAGTTACCAGACTAAAATCCCACCAATCATGGTTTTTCCTGTTCCCTGAAATTATCAAAGGTCCTACAATTCTACAGTCAAATCATCACCACAGAGTTGATTTTTCTAATACAATAAACCAAGACCCAGTCTATCCCCTGGTCACAAATTAGGCCTTTGTAGAAGTAAACTACAATTTCCAAAAGTACCTAATATTTTATAACTGAGGATAACATAGTCCCTAGAAGAAACCGACTCACTAGTTGCTATAGAATGAATGTCTAACATGGCAACTGCTACCTTTCAATGGAAATTACTAGCAAAATTTTAAGCATATTCAGTAACTCAACAGCATACAAGTAGAAAAATCATGTTATATTTTTATAGTATTTTAGAGCTACAAAATACTTACAAAGAAATTTTCTAATGTAGTAATCTCCTTCCCCCCTCAAAAGGCTAGTCCTAAAAGGCTCCTATGATGCTTCTTTAAAATTCAAATTTTGTGGACTTACCCATCTCTATCAGTCTATAGAGCAGAGCCTTGGAATCTGTATTCTTAATAAGGGCCCAAGGTGATGCTGTTGGCGTTACCAGCCCATGAAGCACAGTTCCAATAGCAAGGCTCTACCACACATACATGAGGTATATTGCAAAGGTCATGAGAAAATGAAACTAAAAGATGAGTTTCTTGGGGCTGACATTGTGGTACAGCAGGTTTAGCTAATGCCTGTGACTCTGGTATCCCACATGGGCACCACTTTGTGTCTTAGCTGTGCCACTCATGATCCAGCTCTCTGGTCATGGCTTGGGAGAGCAGCTGAAGATGGCCCAAGTGCTTGAGCCCATGCACACAGGTGGGAGACCCAGATAAAGTTCTGGGTTCCTGGCTTCAGACTGGCACAGCCCTTGTCATCATGACCATTTGGGGAGTGAACCAGCTCTGTCTCTCCCCCTATCCCTCTGCGTGTGTCTCTATCTCTATAACTCTGTCTTTCAAATAAATGAAAAAGAAATTTAAAAGACTAATTTATATGATGCAAAATATTTCTGAAATTCACATGTAGTTTCTTCATGACATGTATTTCCCATGATTTTTTTTTAAGATTCCTGGTACATGTTACACTTACCTACCTTTAGATTCAATTTTTTTTTTGACAGGCAGAGTGGAAAGAGAGAGAGAGAGAGAGAGAGAGAGAGAGAGAGAAAGGTCTTCCTTTACCATTGGTTCACCCCCACAATGGCCACTGCGGCCGGTGCACCACGCTGATCCGAAGCTGGTAGCCAGGTGCAGGGCCCAAGCACTTGGGCCATCCTCCACTGCCCTCCTGGGCCACAGCAGAGAGCTGGCCTGGAAGAGGGGCAACCGGGACAGAATCCGGCGCCCCGACCGGGACTAGAACCCGGGGAGCCAGCGCCGCAGGTGGAGGATTAGCCTATTGAGCCACGGCACTGGCCAGATTCAATTTTCATTTAAAAATTTTTCAAAGATGGGGCTGGCGCTGTGTTGTAGCAGATAAAGCCACCACCTGCAGTGCCTGCACCCCATGTGGGTACAGGTTTGAGTCTGGCTGCTCCACTTCCAATACAGCTCCCTGTTAATGTGCCTGGAAAAGCAGTGGAAAATAGGCCAAGTGCTTGGGTCCCCTGCACCCACGTGGGAAACCTGGAAGAAGCTCCTGGCTCCTAGCTTTGGACTGGCCCAGCTCCAGCTATTGCAGCCATTTGGGGAATGAATCAGCGGAAGGAAGACCTGTGTGTGTGTGTGTGTGTGTGTGTGTGTGTGTCTGCCTTTCAAATAAATAATATTTTAAAAAAATTTTTCAAAGAATCACTACTTATCTCTAAATGGCAGAATTCTAAAGTGTTTTCTTTAAATATTTATTTATTTACTTAGAAGAGAAAGAGGGAGAGACAAAGAGAGAGCCGGAACATGGTCAAGGCCAAAACCAGGAACCCAGAACTCCATCTGGGTCTCCCACATGGATGGCAGGGGCCCAAGCACTTGCGCTATCCTCTGCTGCCTTCCTAGGTGCATGAGCAGAGAGGTGACTCAGCAGTGGAACAGCTGGGACTTGAACTAGCACTCATACTGGATGCCAGCATTGCAGGAAATAGCTTAACCTGCTGCATAACCACAACAGAATGCACTGTTTATTTTCTCCCAGGTCTTTATTTTCTTCCAAGGGCGTGGAGTACTTTTATCATCAGAAGATCTCTTAAAAAGAGAAGTGACTCTTCACAGGGGTCTGTGTGTCTCCACAGGTGGGGGTGGATGCTACATTTTACTCCTAGGACTACTGTAGGTACCTTATTTTTTTTCTTTATGTAACTCCTGACAATATAGACTTGTCTGAGTCCATACAAGAAGACAAGATTTCTCATCATGGCCTAACAATTAGCTTAGTGAATTGGTTCTGTAACCCAGCTGACCTTGCTGTAGTCAAATCTGAATGAACATGTAAAACTCTCTTGGGCATTTTTAGGATTTCTTTTCTTTGTAGTAATAAACTAGCAAAGCAACAAATTCTAAAACATTCATTAAAATAATAAAACCCTGAGAGATCCTAAACTTGCTTCATCAGTGTAATTTATCCACAGCTTTTAAAGTAGTTGTATGTCCTTTCAACACCGGCACTTTGGGTTCTTGCCAAAAGTGACTTACTGGCTACAGTGAAACCAGGAAAAGGGGAAGCAAAAAAAACAAGAATTAACTGGAGAAAAAAGATGTTCACAGAAGTCTTTAAAAAATAAAATCATTATATAACTGGTTCCCCAAACCAGTAAACAATGTAGACTCAGAGAGAACAGTACAGAGAAAGACCAGAAATAAGAGGTAAAATCATTGCGCGTTTGCTGTCATCGCAGCAATTAAATCACCCCAGACAACAGTTTAGGCCAATTTGTCACAAAAGGTACCATTATGTTCTCTATGACTCTTGGAATGTAACTTTCTTTAAAAACAATTTTTCAAAGGAGCCAACAAAGGAGATCATTATGATTCAAAGGAAAAACAAAGTCACTACAATTCACGTGTGAGTTCTTACTTCTTCCTCTCCGAGCCCAATATCCTGAACAAATCTTTAAAGTACTGGGGAACGCGAACCACCAGGTTCTCAGAGGGACCGATGTCTTTCAGGTGAGGGTAGAGTCGGGTATCGATGACCTTCTTGATGTAGCCCAGCCAGTCGAACTGAGGGGAGGGAGAAAAAACAGCGAGACAACCTGTTAGGCAGCAGGTAAGAAGAAAGGCAGAGAGAGTAGGGTGAGCACAACGCACTCCCTGCTATGTTACACCAAGTAACTGCTGACCTGCGGAACAGCATGCCCTGATCACTGTCATCCATCCTTAGCCGCCCATGGACCAGGGATTCTGTGCCATCGTCGTGTGGACACACGCACACTCCCAGGGTACTAGGCACCCTCCAGGACGCTGTCCCTGCTCCCCTTCGCTGCCCCTTGCGCTCTTCCCTCCTTCATTTCTCTGCATTCTCTTCTCTCCCCTCCTATGTTCTCCCGGCGTCTCTTCTTCAAGCATTCTTCCTTCTCCCACCCTCTCCCTTCCTTTTATCGTGCACTTCCCTCCCTCCGTCTACATTCTCCCTCTAGCCTGTATGCTGCCCCCTTCCCTTTCCCTGTCTCTAACCTGCACTCTCCCTCACCCCCACATACACATGCATAGAGATGCCCAGGCCCTGGCCGGTCTCCTCTGCCTGTGCAGCCTTTCTGAACGCAGGGGGAAACCAGCAGCGACACAGAGTAATGGGACTCCACTCTTCACAGTATCACGCTGTAACACAAAGCAGCATCTGGTGTTTTGGACTGATGACCTGCCCGCCTCCACTACCGAAATGGACAACGAGTCACTCACTTGCCCAGGCTCCCTGTAGTTAAGGGTGGTCATATGATCCAATTCTACCCAATAATCAATGAAGAGAAGACATCTGGGATAGTCTAAAAAGGCTTTTTCTTATTGTTGCCTTCCTGATAAAAAAGTTAGACATAGCTATTATGGCCCTTCCTCCTTCTTCCTGCCCTGATGGCAGATGTGACATATGGATCTGTGGTAGTCACCTTGCAACCATGAGTAATCAAACATGAAGTCAAAAAGCCAACACACTAAGCAGAATGGAAAGACAGAGGCCAGTGCTGTGGCATAGCAGGTAAAGCCACTGCCTGTGGTGTCAGCATCCCATAGGGGCACGAGTTCAAGTCCCAGCTGCTCCACTTCCGATCCAGCTCTCTGCTTTGGCCTAGGAAAGCAGTCGAGGATGGCCCAAGTGCTTGGGCTCCTGCACCTATGTGGGAGACCTGGAAGAAGCTCCTGGCTTCCTATCAGCTCAGCTTTGGCCACTGTGACCATTTGGGGAGCAAACCAGCAGACGGAAGACCTCTCTTTCTCTCTCTCTGCCTCTATCTCTCTGTAGCTCTGCCTTTCAAATAAGTAAATAAATCTTAAAAAAAAGGGGGGGGGGTGGCGCTGTGGCACAATGGGCTAACAACATGGCCTGCAGTGCCAGCATCCCATATGGGCGCTGTTCGAGACTCAGCTGCTCCACTTCCGATCCAGCTCTCTGCTGTGGCCTGGGAAAGCAGTAGAAGATGTCCCAAGTCCTTGGGCCCCTGTACCCATGTGGGAGACCAGGAGGAAGCTCCTGGCTCGCTCCTGGCTTTGGATCAGCACCGCTCTGGCCATTGTGGCCAATTGGGGAGTGAACCAGCGGATGGAAGACCTCTCTCCCTCTCCCTCTCCTCTCTCTATGTAACTCTGACTTTCAAATAAAATAAATAAATCTTTAAAAAAGAATGGAAGGACAGTAAGAACTTGGGTCTTTGACAACAAAGTTAAATAGTTGACCCAACACCAACAAGCATTTATGTCTAGATGTTTCCCAGGTAGGAAAACAGATGTAAATTTTGAAGCCACTCTTGGAACGACCTTCTGTTCCCTGTAACAGAAGGCATTTTAACACAAAAACAAGGGATATTTTACGAGCTAATTGACAAAGATGATGATAACCAAAAAGACTGATAGTAGGTTTTATAAGATAAATATTTACAAAGAGACAAAATACAATTGCTTGTAAACTGAGCTGTTAAGAGAAACTTTCCTGGATAGCTTTCACCAACCTGAGGAATCATAGCACTGAGTTCAGAAATGTTCATTTTGTTGTACATGGCCTCACTGGTTCGGTTTTCATGTGGAATCATTATCTGTTGGAAAGAGATTTTGATTATTTTTTCAAATGAACTGTTTCTTACTCTATGAGTACTTCCCATGTGTGCCAAAACATCTGCATAGTATTATAAAGTTTTCTAAGACTCTGGTGTGGTGCCAAGTGAGGGGGTGGGGGAAGGTGAAGGAAAAAAATGACATCACTTGAAGCAGGATTACAATTAAAAAAATTTAAAAAAAAAAAAAAACCTTTCATGTCCTCTTCAGTGTGAACTGTTGCTCCCAGTACAAACATAGCTACCCGGAATCTCCTCAGCATCTATAATGTGAATGGGCAAAGCCTACTGCTGGCTGGGTTTTGACAGTCAAACTCAAGTTGAACAATTGAGGCAAAAATCCTCTCCTGTGGTCTCCAAATAATGACCTCAGTATTTCATTAGCCACAGACCATCCCTTGTCCTTAGGCACCAATTTTGACTACTAAACACCAGACTACCCAGATGCCACTGCCACTCATGCTCATGTTCTCAACAGCTCATTCCTTCATTTCCCTCTCCTGTTTCTTGGGCCTTGAGAGCCTCCTCATCCCAGTGCTACATGCGTGGATTCAGTCACCACCTACAAACCTGCATCTCTGGCCCTGACTCCTCATATTCTGTCCACTACCAACACACAAACTGTTGGCCCTGTGCGGAAGCCAAATCTGGGCTTCCAGTTTCCGCCAGGTTTGACCTAAACTAGGAACAGCAACAATAGTGTCTTCCTCGAGGATCATATGAATCTTTCCATTCTCAGACAGTGGCTCCTATATCCACATCCGAACCACATCGTGGTTGTGACTTAAGTCCTTCCATCACCGTAGTTCCTTGCATTAAGCTTGCTCCCTTTAACTTCAAACATGACACTCCTCCTGTGCACTGATATTCACTGTCACCATCTCCATGGTTTGGTTCAAGACTTGCCTGAAATTCATCTTCCTTAGCAAGCCTTTCCAATTAAACTCTACTTGGTGCCAATCACAAGGGTCACTCCACCAGTGAGAGCCCTCCTTGTGCACACATCTCTGTATGTGGGACTGATGAAACACACACATGTCCATGGTTGTATTTACAAAGACTTACTTGTGCTGGACAGAACTGTCCTGTTTCCCCCGCCTCTCAAAGTTCCCTAGGACCATATGTTCTACTCACTTGGAAGGTATCTAGTGACCTGAAATGTGAGCAGGCCAAACACTCTCACACTGTAGATTTTTCATGGAGAAATCACAGAGGTCTGAGCAGCAGCCATCTTGCCCGTCTTTGCTAAGTGCTTTGGTGCCCTGAGCTTTCTTCTCCTCACCCTGCACAGGTGGTCTACCTGTGCCTTACAAACAGCTTCCTGGCCCCGTGTGCATCATTGCCCCAGAGAAGGTCCATGTCCCTCTTCCACCCACCCCTCCTCCTCCCTGGATTCAGGCTTGCACTCCCAGGTTGGAGCCCTTTGGCCTAAGAGCTGTTTCCAGCTCTCTGCCAACAACTCCCCTCCACACAATGGATTTGTCACTTCATTTAGGCTCTTGACAATTCCCAGTCTTGCTTCAGCCCAGCTGTTTTTAGTTCCCTTTTGGTCCCAATCCCTGGCTCAGGGCAAGGCCTTCCCTTCTGTATCAGAGCTTCAGTCCAAATTAAAGCTCTGAGCCTCCTATTTGCCTGGGAAGGGAATCCAGACAGCCTCTAGACATGGCTTAGAGACACAATCCTGGACTTCAAAACACCTACAACAGCCTTCAGTCTTCAAAGGCGACATGCAGGGATGACCTTTTTGTACGGCAAGTAGGAGTCTGGAGCGGATGCACTGACTGCACCAGCACAGCAGAGAGCCTGATTTACCTCCATCTCTCCATCTGCTCCAGACCTCAACACACAGCACCACATTGCCAGACACAAAGCCAATAAACACTTGGACTCTTCATCACCTCCACAGTTCTGCTAACATCTGTTAGAAAAGATTACCAACCCACATGCAAAGGTTTCTTGGTAACAGTATTTTTTTTGCCACAGGATTTCCCCTCTAGCTGATTTCATTGTATTTCACTGATTTCACCTCTGGACCTGAGGACACATAGGGATTTTACACTTTGTTTCGTCTAGAAAAAAAACGGTACTCTATAAGCAAAGCTAGCCATTTTGTATTTCTTACTATTATCCCACAAGTCTGTTCTTTTTCTCTACGATGAGCCTACAATAACTTTAGGTGACTTACAGCTAACATTATCAATGCCACAATGACACCCAATGAAGTGGGACGAGAAAATAATGCCAAACAAGAGTCGGTGCAAAGTAGCCCCAGAAAGGGAGCTTTAAAATGCTTTTTAGGATGCCCTAGATGCTATCAAATTTTATATCCAGAATTGGTGGCCAGCTCTCCCTGAGCCCAGACCGACTCGCAGTGGGAATGGTATAAAAGAAGAGTGGATTATAAGGCAACCGTCTATTCAAGCTAAATCAATAAAGGATGATTAGTCAGCAGTATTCTACCTGGGCCACACAGTCATTCTCTAGCAAAAAGAGTCGGAGGGTCTCCATGCTGTACTCTCTGGCAACAGCTGAGCAGCATACAGGCACCCCTATAGCCTTCACTTTGGGACCTGGAGGAATCAGGTGTTTTTATGCCATGGGGCTTCATGTTGCTTCCCAGAGAGGATGCTCGGAGTTCGACCTTTGACCCCATTACACAGAAGGCTATTATTTGGCCCCCATTTATATTTTCATTCAGGATATACTGCCTGTAAAATAAGGAAAGGAAAAAGATTTCTGATCAAGACATACCTCGGCTATCTTAATTTCCAACCTAAGCACCGACTTCATGTCATGCTCTGCTCGGGAAATGTTAGCTCCTAAGAGCACAGCAGTATCCACCATGAACTTGTACAGGGCATCTCGATACTGTAAGAGATGAAGAAACAAGTGACCATGACATTAGCTTATTAGGAAGTACGTTTCAGAGACACAGAAGAGCAGAAACAGTAGGTGAAGATAAAAGGCCTTGATTTTCACTCAGGACTCGAAGTCTGGTACAGGTGTTATGCAATGCCAGCCACCCACCTGCCACTTTAGGAGACAAGAGTGATGGCTACTTAGGTACTGTTGCCATGGCAGGCAAAATCATCCAGCCATCAAGTGTCACGAGAACAAGTTTTCTGGCAACTGACGATATTGCAGATACACAAAAAGTCTCCAAATGAGCCAGGAATAGAAAGCTAAAGGTCAGACATCCTCTTTCCAGGCAAGTGAGGCTTTAATAGAATAATGGGAAAGAACTGTTTCTAAAAGCAGGAGGGCTGCTCCATGAAGACTGATGAGAAATGTGATTTATTCTCTTCCAGCTCAATTTACCCACCTTCACTCTAAGAAATAAAAAAGGTGACTGCAGGGGTTGTAGCCCTGTGTCTTTCTGTTTTTCACAGTGCTCGCAAACTTTTCCATAGCTCAGAGAAAAAAAAGAAAGAAGGGAGAGAAGAGAGGAATGATGGCAAAAATCCTAGAAAATAACAAATATAGATTTTCTTCAAAACCTATTTGGGTGCTGTCCATCATGACGTTGATGCAGGGGTGGGGAATCATTTTTCTGCCAGGGACCATTTGGACACTTATAACATCATTCATGAGCCACACCAAATTATCAACTTCAAAATTAGCCTGCTATACATTTATTGAATTTTGAGTTCCACCTGCAATCGCCTTGGCAGGACCAGACCAAATGATTATGCAGGCCTTACATGGCCCATAGGCCATATGTTCCCTACCCCTGGAGGACAGGGAAAACTTCCTTCATGGGATTAAAAAGTCTTTTTAAAAATATCTTATTTAATCATTTGAGAAGTAGAGTTACAGACAGAGAGAAATGTCCTCCATCCACTGGTTCACTCCCCAGATTGGCTGCGATGGCCGGAGCTGCGCCAATCCGAAGCCAGGACCCAAGAACTTCCTCTGGGTACCCCATGTGGGTGCAGGGGCCCAAGGACTTGGGTTATTTTCCACTGCTTTCCCAGGCACATTAGCAGAGAGCTGGATTGGAAGAGAAGTAGCTAGGACATAAACTGGCACCCATATGGGATGTCGGCACTGAAGGCAGAGGCTTAATCTACTACGCCACAGCACTAGTCCCTAAAAAGAACCTTATTAGGGCTCACCTTTCATATCAGACATATTTGTGAGAACTCAGTATACCAGGTATTAGGGCAGGTGTTGTGGCACAGCAAATTAAGCCACCACCTACAATGCCAGCATCCCATAGGAGTGCCAGTTTGAATGTTTGCTGCTCCACCTCTAATCCAGTTTCCTGCTAACGTGCCTGGGAAGACAGTCAGTACTTGGGCCCCCATGTGGAAGACCCAGATGGAGTTCTAGGATCCTGACCTCAGTCTGGCCCAGCTCCAGCTGTTGCAGCCATTTGGGGAGTGAATCAGCAGATGATACCCACCTCTCTTTCATGTTATATGTATGCCTTCAGGACCTATACAGTTCTTGGCATATAGGAGACCCTTAATAAACATTCATTGAATCAGAAAGCAAGCTTTACAAATAAAAAGAAACAACATTTTGTCATTTCTAATTCAATTCCAAAAATAATTATTGACTCAATACACATGCAAGGTAGCTTGCTAGGCATTCTGTATATAGATTGGGAGAGGGAAGTGCCGATGAAAAATTAAATAATGCTTAAATCAGGTTCTCAGTGTGTGACACAATGAGGAAAATAAAAATTTAATTACTAGCCATAACATAAGAGAGATCAAAATAGTTCCTTAATACAGCTGCTACAGGCTTGAATATTCAAGAGTTGAAGAACAATTCCTGCCTGCAAAAAATGGAGAAATAGCTTTTGAAAAATACAGGCCCAAGAGCAGGGAGAAGCCCTCCTGTGAGGTGGATGAACTGGCTTTTGTTGGGGGAGAACAAGAGTAGATGAGGCAGGAAAGGTTGTTTGGGATCAAGTCAAGAAAAGGCCTTGGCCTCCCTGTAAATAATTCAAACTGTATCTTGAGTAGGAAATGACTGAAAAACTACTTGCTGTTATCAAGACACATGTGGACCAGCATCGGACCTAGGGCAAGAAGGATAGGAAGGAGGGACCCAGTGGCTGGAAGACATATTGTGAATGCAGAATAACTAGGACTTAACTGATTCGTTTTAGGGAGAAGAGATGATTTCAAGCCTGATTGCTTCTCCAAGAGAAAGGGAGGTGTCCCCAAGTTTGCCAAGTTTATTCTGACCACTTTCAAAAAGCAAAACTTGCCTTTCCCCTCTGATGTGTGCCCTCAGCCAGAAAGCTGCCTGGTATCTTGGCTAGTTTCAAGTCTTCTAGAACCTTCTATATAAAGAGATTAGTATCACTGCAGAGCCAAAGGACCTAGGTCTGAGGTGCCTTTGGAAGGTCAATCAAGTTTTCAAAATGAGTAGAGTTATAGATGAACCAGCTCTTTATGATCTCCAGGAAACTACTAGGTTTCCCAGGCCAACCCAAGTCTAACTGGATTGATCCCTTCTGGTTCTGATGAACCCTCCATTAGCCTGGGGTACCTGTTCAAAATATAGATTTTTAGACCCCACCTCAACTCTACTAACTCAGACTCTCCAGGGCTTGACATTTACTAGAAGCTCCCCAGCCAATTCATAAGCAGACAATTTGAGAACCACTGGTCTCCTGGGTACACTTTTTCCCCCCACTTTATTCCTGCAATGGACAGTGAACACTCTGCACTTCTGAGGAATGCCTGCAAGTTCATTTCTTGGTTACTTCATTTGGGTGTGCTGTCTACCCAATGACATCATGAGGGCATTGTGTGCAGGGACTTGCAAAACCTGGATGCCCAGACTTCCAGAAGACAGAGAGGGAACTTCTCTGCCTTGATAAAAGGCTTTGTTTCCTGGATTGGGAATCTGCTCAGTTGCAGTAAAGAAGCAGGGATCTTACAACAAGAGATGAACATGACAACAGTCCAACAAGGCACGTAGTTAAAATGGCTTAAACTTACAGACTTGGCTTCTGTGCTGTTATCAAGGTAGTCTTCCCTCACTGCTAGGGAGAGTGTCGCTTGGTCCAGCTGTTAAAATCAAAACAAAGAATTCCATTGGCACTGTAAATTCTTGTGTACAATGTTAACAAGAGTCATGAGACCATCAACATACCACCCATATTTCAAGTGTGTATTACCACTAAAAAAATAATTTATTCAGAGATACATGCAAATAGGTGCTTTGGAAATGACAAATATAAAGTATCAAAGACCCATCCCTACTTTCCTGATCCAAAGCTTCCAATCTTCTTGAGCTTCCACAAGGAGACTTCAAAAGACTCTTGGACAAAATGGAATTAAAACATATGTTTGTTTTGGTGTAAATAAATTTCGAAGTTCATGCATACAAGTGGTCTTCAAAAATTCATGGAAAATCTGTATTATGAAACAACTATGCATGGATTTCAAAATTTTTGCAGCAAAATAAACATCTTTTAATCCCATTTTCCATTAACATTTTGAAATACCCTCATATCAACACTAAGTAACCCCAAAGTTATTTGAGTTGTAACAGATCTTGGGGGGTATCTACTTTCCCTTCTCATTGGATGGAAGAGAGAAATAAATGTCAGAAGCAGCTGTGATTTGCCCAAGGCAACACGATTTGGCAGACCTCATGGTACAATTGTCTCCCCTTACCAGACCCAGTATTCTTCTCACTGCAGTGTTTTGCAAAATGCCAATCTGGATGGAGTGGATTAATCAGACTTCACACCTCCTTACCTCTAAACTAATGTACTGCATATTTTTCTAATTTTAATGGAATCAGATGATAATTTTGTTTTAAAAAATCATGTCAAAATTTAGAACACTCTGTAAAGTTTTGGGTAGGTGGTAAAACCATAAATAATATAATCAGACAACCAAATACAATGATGATAGAAAAGTACAGTGTAAATTTTTCAATTAAAACTTTCAGCATTTTAAAGGCAATCAAAGAAGACAATCTTTTCAGAGAGTGCTAGAAAAGCAGAACATGTATATGTAAAAAAAAAACTGAACTTTGATTCATACTGAAAGAAAGATCATAGAACTAAATGTAAAACCTAAACTATAAAACTTCTAGAAGAAAACATAAGAAGGGACAGGTCTGTGACATAGTAGGTTAAGCCTCCACCTCCAACACTGGAAAGCATCCCATATGGGCACTGGTTCGAGTCCCGGCTGCTCCACTTCTGATCCAGCTCCCTGCTATGGCCTGAGAAAGCGGTAAAAGATGGCCCAAGTCCTTGGGCCCCTGCACCCATGTGGGAGACCCAGAAGAAGCTTCTGGCTTCAGATCGGTGCAGCTATGGCCATTGTGGCCATTTGAAGAATGAACCAGTGGACGGATGACCTCTCTCTTTCTGCCTGTCTGTAACTCTGCCTCAAATAAATAAATATTAAAAAAAATATATAAGAAAAACTTTTGTTACCTTGGATTAGGCAAAAATATTTTAGACACAAAATCATCCATAAAAGAAAATATTAATTAGATTTCATTATGATTAAAATTTTTGCACTGTGAAAGATATTGTTGAGTGAAAATACAAGCCATGCAATGGGGAAATATTTTTGAAAATCGCATATATGATACAGGATTGGCATCAACAACATATGGAGTCCTTAAAACTTAAGAATAAGAAAACACTTAATACAAAAGTGAGCAAAAGATCCAAATGGTCACCAAAGAAGATATGCAGATAGAAAATAAACACACATGAGCATACTTCAAAAAGTTCGTTAAAAATTGAACTAATAGACTTGGGCCAGGTGTTTGGCATGGTGTCAAGATGCTAATTGGAATGCCTAAATCCTGTATCAGAGTGCCAGGGTTCATGTCCCAGCTCTGATTCCCATGCCAACTTCCTGCTAGTGCACACCCTAGGAGGCAGCAGGTGATGGTTCAACTACTTGGGTCCCTGCCTACATGAGAAGCCAAGGTTGAGTTCCAGGATCCTGGCTTCAGCCTGACTCAGTCCTGGGTATGGCTGCACACAATGAGTAGTAAACCAGCAGCTGAAAAAGCCGTGTGTGTGTGTGTGTGTGTGTCCTTCTCTGACTTTAAATATAGATTTGTTTTGGTACAAAAAAAATTGGAGGGGTAGGCAGTTAAGCAGTTTCTTGGGAAGCCCGTATCCCATATCAGAGTGCTGGTTCTAGTCCCAGCTACTCAGTGCTTCTGACCCAGCTTCATGCTAATGCATGACGACCAAAGTATGAAGTTCCTGGCTCCTGGCTTCAGCCTGGCTGTTTTGGACATTTGGGGAGTGAATCAGCAGACAGAACATTTGTCTCTGTTGCTCCCTCCCTCTCCCACCCTTCCTCCCTCCCTCCCTCCCTCTCTCTCTCTTTCTCTCTGCCACTCTGCCTTTCAATTAAATTAATAAATCTTGGGCCAGCACCGTGGCGCAGTTGGTTAATCCTCTGCTTGCGGCACCAGCATCCCATATGGGCGCCGGTTCTAGTCCCAGCTGCTCCACTTCCAATCCAGCTCTCTGCTGTGGCCTGGGAAAGCAGTAGAAGATGGCCCAAGTCCTTGGGCCCCTGCATCCATGTGGGAGACCAGGAAGAAGCTCCTGGCTCCTGGCTTCAGATCGGCACAGCTCTGGCCATTGCGGCCATTTGGGGAGTGAACCAACGAAAGGAAGACCTTTCTCTCTGTCTCTCCCTCTCACTGTCTGTAACTCTACCTCTCAAATAAATAAATAAAATCTTTAAAAAATTTAATAAATCTTTACAAACATTTGTAGTCCATGCACAGGCAGGATCTTCAAACAGTTAATGGCAATACATACTATCCAAAAAGTTATGCATGGATTTCAATACTTTGCTCCAAAATAAACATCTTTTAAGTCCATTTTCCATGAACTTTATGAAGTATCTTCATAAGTACAATATCACTAATCATTAGGAAAATGTAAATGAAGCCCACAATCAAACACATCTGTTAAGATGGGGAAAAATATCTTACAAGTGTTGGCAAGGATGTGGAAAAAAGTGGACCACTAATTCCTATCACTGCCGGGGAAGGGGGAGTTACAAAACAGAACAGCCACTTTGGCAAGAAATAAGCTAGTTTCTTATACACTTAAATATATATTTACATATGACCCACAAATCCTACTACTAGATATTTACTCAAAAGAAATGAAAACTTGGGGCCAGCATTGTGGTGCAGTGGGTTAAGCCACCAACTGCAACACCAGCATCCCATATGAGTTTCCCAGTGGCTTTTCGTCGAGTCCCAACTGCTCCACTGCCCACTCAGCTCTCTGCTGATGTACCAGGGAAGACAGCAGAAGATGGCCCAAGGTCTTCAGCCCCTGCCACCTACATGGGAGACCAGGATGAGGTCCCAGGCTCCCAGCTTTGGCTTGGCCCAGCCCTGGCCATTGCGGCCATCTGAGGAGTGAATCAGTGGATGGAAGATCTCTCTCTCTCTCTCCCTCTCCCTCTCCCTCTCTCCATCCCTTCCTCCCTCCCTCTCTCTCTAATTCTTCCTTTCAAATAAATAAATAAAAGTTTTTAAAAGAAATGAAAATTTATGCCAAAACAAAAACCTATATATAACTTATTCAAAATCACCAAAAAGTGGAAGCAACCCAAATGTCCCTCAATCCATGGGAATAGCTGTGGTATACAATGGCATACTACTCAACAATAAAAAGAGATGAACTAATGACCCATGTAACAACACGGAAGAATTGAACTCACACTCGGAAAAAGACAAACTATAGGGACACAGAACAGAGTGATGGTCGCCAAGGTCTGAGGATGGCAGGAGGTTGGCCACAAAGACACAAAAGGGGATAATTGGGGGGGGGGGGGGGCAGAGGCGGTCATAGAACTATTCTATTTCTTGATCGTGGTAGTTGCTATATGACTATGCATCTGTCAAAAGTCATCAACACATACAGTATGAAAAGTGGATTTAACTGTATTTAAATTTTAAAACTTAAAAAAAAAAAACTTCTAGCACCTTCTCTAAATCTATGGCTTGTTCTTCCTGAAAATCAGCCACCAACTAAAGACTGAAAGAAATGGATTCCAACAGCAGATTTTCCAATTTAAATCTGATTCTCACATTTAAAAGTTAAAAATTAGCAAGACATAAAATCTAAAAACACAAAATGAGTAGCATTTTAATAAAACCTGAATCCTACATAACTGTATTGTTTATAAGACTTTAAACTTTTTATTCTTTTTTCAACTAAATATAAAATGTAATACATATTCTTTTTTCAATGTATACAATCTGTGTAATTCTCAGTGAAAATCATGTTCATATGCAACAAATTCTACCAACACCAAATTAAGAGTTAGTGGTATTATGAAAAGGTCAAGGGAAAACATTGTTCTTGGGGGGAGGAGGGAGATGCTTTCCAAACATCCATGTCGTCTGCGTGTGCTGTTAAATCCTCAAATTATTTTGTTCAGCCTTCTTCTCTAATTGGTCTGAAACAACCAAGCCACAAGCCAGCCTGGCTTCATCCTGCTGCAATTCCCAATACGCCACTGTTTCTTCCAAAAATTAAGTAAGCCGGGACCATGAAACACAATATTATGATGAAGATGCTTTGGCTTTCAATTAACTTTGGACCACTTGTAGAATCTTTTTAGATCCAGTCTCATAGGAAAGGAAACTGTATAAATACATCAAGAAAGCCAAAGCTTCCCTCGCATGAAATGAAGTTGAATCCATTTATTGTAAAAATGTAGATAACTCAAGTGAGGTTACCAGACTTTTTATAAACCTTCAGATTGTTATGGTTTCTAGGGAACATTTTAAATACACCAATGGATTGAATAAGGTTAGTCAACTAAATCTCATTGGAAACATACAAACTCTTGGGACAAAAAAAAAGTTTCTCAAGAAGCCAGCATCAGGACATTCTGTTATTCAGGTATTTCTCCTATTTGCATTTACAACTGATATGAATATTTCAAGGAGAAAATCAATTATGTTTTCAGAAGGCAGGCATTTGCCTAGCACTTAAGATGCCGGTAGACACCCTCAGGCCTTATCAGAGCACCTGGGTTCAATT